AGAAATGACTCTCCTTTTCTGAAAGACAGCTGGACTCATTGCTGTCTTACGTTCTATAACCGGCTGAAACAAACAATTTTAAAATATCAGGTATCTCCTTAACGCATCTCTGAAGATTTACCCTGACAAACTAATGTTATAAAAGCAAAGAACAGAGAGGGTGTATCAAAGTCCATGTTGAGAGCATTTGTTTTGTTACAGGGGTATTAAGGGCGTGCACTGTAATTCCACACAGCACACAATGTTCTCCGTTACTTTTACGAACACAAATTGTACAAAACCACAGAGATCAGGTAGAATCGCCACTGGGGTGACGTGTATTTTAATCACAAATATTATTTTCTGTGGGACTCCGACGGGATTCTTACTGTTGGAATGCGAGAGCGATCGCTATCCTGAAAAGGCCACATTTCTGTCTGAAGGTTTTTAAGAATACCTCTGTTAACCAAGATGTCAGCTACCACGGTAACTACCAACATTCATTTAGCCATAAGAAATACTGGGATGTCCTAGTATTAGCCAGCATAAATGATCCTATTTGGTCTGGTCATACATAATGTATTAATCCCAGGGGCATTTTTTTTCCACAGGTTTTGCAAGCTAAAAAACAGTTATCAAGAGCATTTGAATTAGATTAGGACTGTGTAAACCATCAAGCTCTAAGAGCTTGTAATCTTTTCAGCAGAACTATGCCAAGAAAGAGCCACAGCTCAACACGACACGGAATTTTCAATACAGTTGAGAAGTCTTACTTGCAAAAAAAGTCTCTGTGTGTTCCCAAGGGTTTAAGCAGACATAGCTGGGCAAATGTAAGCAGAGACTGACAGAAAGGTCATTTTACACAACGTGAAGAAACACAGCAAATGTCATTTGAAAGAATCGCTACACAAGGTTCCCTATGGATTCACTGGATGGAATGCAGAAAAACAGAAAAGAGGGAGAGAGAAAAACAGACATTCAGAAAGTTACTAACTGATGACCAATAATAAAAATGAAGATGCTCAGGACTCTTGGCTACATAAACACAGGTGTCCCCCTCGGGAAGTCCCAACCCCTCCCACCGCACGCTCAGCCCAGCTTCCCGCACAGCCCCGCCGAGGAAGGGAACCTTCACCCGTGCAGAACAACCCCCTGTCGTGGCACGGCCCGCTGCTGCTGGAGCTGCAGAGACTCACAGCTCCCCAGGCCCAGGGCACCGCTTCCTACTGCTGTTACAGAGACAAAAGAGCCACCCCAACAGCTTTCTGGTTCTGTTCTTCACTCACCTGAGGTTGCTCCCCAGCTCTGCTGTCTTACAGGAATTTCCCCTTCTGCATATTAGGAATTCTTTTAGGATTTCCACACCTAAACGGAGAGATGGCACAAATTAACCAACTGAAAAAACCCTAGTAATAAGTTATGGATTCATCAAGGGTTGTTTGATTTTTTTTTTTGTAAGATAGTCATATTCATGAAAACCACTCTTAGACCCTGGGACATTAAAATTCATATTAGATGACGACAAATAAAACTTTTCTAAAGGGCAGACTTATTTACACTTCATCACCCGTTTTGGAGATTCTGCTTTTCTGTGTTTTGAAGTCTATGCTACACACAAATAAGTGACAACAATAAAATAGACAAAACAAATCCTGCTGGGAAATACAACTGCCCTCATTTAAAATTTGCAGCTTGGTCCATCTTAGAGATTTAGAGAAAAAGCGAGCACAGTAAAGATAATCTGTGTATTTCCCAAATATTTATCATCGCTTCTGAGTTTCAGAAAGAAAGCTGGTAAGAAACATACTTTGTACAAAGATAAGAGTGTTAATATCCCTGTTATCAGAAGTTCTGCTTTTGGGTCATGGAGCCATTGTTCCTCTGGTTTTGATGCCTTATGTTCCCAAGGGCTTCTGACTGAGCATTCAGACAAGACGCAGTCAGCACAACGCAGATTTAGGCACTTAAACAAAAACGTGAATTGTTTTGACAGGAATCGGTGGCCCAACTTACTTTTGGGGAATCAACTACGACATACTTAAAGTGAATATGAAGCTTCAGCGACAGATTCCTTGTATGCTGCGTTCTGCTTAAAGCTACAGTTTGCCAGTGCCAGGATTTTTAAAAAAGCAAATAGCTCATTTGTTTTTTCAAGAAAATCTTTCATTATTTCACTGCCTAAAACAATGTCATACTTCATCTTAACGGAGAGACAGATGGTCACCAGGCAGAATTTGTTCCAAAACGACAGCGTCCTTCCCATGTAAACCCAAACCAAGAACAAAAAGTCAGACTTAATTACATTCCACCACAACACAAAACAAATTTACCCAAATGAGCGGAAGGAAGAAATCTGTGCAAGAACAGTCAGTGATTACATCTGAATCTTGAAACAATCTTAAAACTTACTCTCTCCCACAGTTTCCAACTGCTTTATACAACTCTAACAATGTTCTTAAATAAGAAAACTCTTATGATAATGTAACGTGGACAAAACAATTATGTTACCTACTACACATTTAGTTTTAATGTGTTTTACAAAGAAACCAAGACTGCTCTGCTCTCCTGTTGGAGTACCATCCTCAGGACAGATTTCAGAGTGCCATCCAGCAGGCAAACAGCATTTCTTGCCAGCGGAAGCCATTTCAGAACAAGTTAATATAACCCCGAGATGCAGGGCATAAGGAACAGAGATATTGGAAGGAAGAGGTATCCACGTGTTTCAGGAAACAGATACTCATAAAAAAGAAATGAATCTGTGAAAATCAGGCAATTTTCTAAGTCCACTGAAATAGGTACACCACGTATCTTAAGGTGCTTGAAGACTTTGCAGTAACAATCCACTAAAACATCACTAATGATTTCAGTGATTTTTGCAGAGAAAATGCTTTTTCAATTACAGAAGTCAGAATTCCTTATTAAGGAAAAAAAATATTTTTTTCTATTTTAAGACAGCCACAGACATATTTAGAAATTGAGAATATACAGCACAATAATCCAATTAGGCGTGGAAGCCATCACCAACCTCTCAGTGGCATTAAAAGCATCTATAAAGGACAATGCCTAAATAATACTGAGGCAGAGGGAAGCTGTATGTGCCAGTTAACTGCACTGACAGGGAGACGAGCACCAACCTGATGCTGATGAACCCCAGAGGCCACACGTTTCCTTCCCAGCAATGACATACCCATCACCAGTATGTGACCGGTGCCATTACCACTGCCCGTGCGATGAGGAGGAAGGGGTGGGTGAGGGAGGAAGGCTGGGTGCCCGGCCGCGGCACAGGGGAGCCACAGGCCCGCCATCGGTACTCACGGGTGGTTCTAGAGGCACGTAGAGCTCCGGCACTTCATCCCACCGGCGGAGGTGTGGGCTCAGCCTGCGGCAGAGGAGTTTCCGAAACGTAACTCCCATTGCCTGGGGGAGTAACACAACATTAGCGACACCATTCTGCTAGCAGCTGCCTTCAGCACGCTTTGAATCATGGAAAGCCACGCAGTTTGGTCTTGGAAATTTATCAGAGTCAAAAGGCTGAGTCCTGCTGCACTTATATGCTTTATAAATCTCTATCATAATGAATTATCATTTTTGATCACAGAATGGTTTGGGCTGGAATGGACCTCAAAGCCCATCCAGTGCCACCCCCCGCCCCGGGCAGGGCCACCTTCCACCAGCCCAGGGTGCCCAAAGCCCCGTCCAACCCGGCCTTGAGCCCTTCCAGGGAGGGGGCAGCCACAGCTGCTCTGGGCAGCCTGTGCCAGGGCCTCACCCCCCTCACAGGGGAGAATTTCTGCCTTAGATCTCATCTAAATCTCCCCTCTGTCAGTGTAAACCCATTACCCCTCATCCTATCCCTACACCCTCTGATGGAGATCCCTCCCCAGCTTTTCTGTAGACCCTTTAAGTCCCTTTAAGTTCTGTAGACCCTTTAAGACCCTTTAGAGGCTGCTCTAAGGTCTCCTCTAAGACATTATAGATATATTACATATAATGAATATAATTAACGATTACAATATAAATAATAATACATTCTATATGAGTTTAGATATAAATTTAACTTCACTTGCAGCTAGCATTTCCTCATCACATGCACCTCCTATCTTTTCTTGCAACCAAAGAATATTAGTAACCAGGGGGGAATAAGTGGGAAGAATGACTTTAATTAAATTTTTTAAATATACACACTTTGTTAAATGACGTTTCCTTAAAAACCGTGATAAATATTAAGGAAAAAGCACCATCCCGGGAGACAAGGAGCGCTGCAGTCACCCCAAGCCGTCAGGACAACGTCCCTAAGGCTGTACGGCATCGGCGAGCCCCCACGCTGCCAAGCCACTGCCGGTAATCCCCACAGCGAACACCCGTTACCGGCACAAACTGCAGCCGGCTCGTCACACCGAGCGGCGCGGAACCGCTGAAACAAACCGGGGTGAGGGGGGGGAGAGATTAGGGAACACTTCTAGAAGTTAAACCAACATAGAAATATTTAAAAAAAAAAAAAAAAAAA